CCAACTGCCCTGTAGTGGTGGGATGCCCATGGTCAGAATGAAGCTGAGTTCTAGAAAACAAAGCCAGTGTCATTTCTTGCACAGCTGAGCTAGCCCCTGCCAACCTAAGCAGCCTGGCCTGGTCCCACCCTCTGATTTACCCACCGTGCCCTTTCTTTCTGGTTCCTTAAACATACCAAATTCTGTCCCACCTGGGACGCTTGTCGGGGTTCAGCTTAAACATCGCCTCGGAGAAGCCTTCCAGTCTGCTCTATTTCTAGGTCCCCCCACATTCCTTCTTTTCTTCCTGCGGCCTTTCCTTCCTCCACGGCACCTACCACATTGGTGGCTACATTTCTTTGTGTTTATTGGTTTATTGGTTCATCTGACTCCTGCTCTCCGAGGGCAGGAACTGGCTCTTTTGCTTACGACTCTGTGCTCAAGACTGGCCTGCGGCAGGTGCTCAGTCAGTGTGCTGAATTCCAGAGGGCCAGTGAGGTAGGGCAGTTTCTGGCCTTTGCGTGGGAAGGCCGGCTGGGTTGCAGGGTTAGGCTCTGTCCTGTGTCATCGGACGGTCATCAGTTCACCAAGAAGCCAAGTGAGGCCCTGTGCTGGGTACCAGGTACCTGGGGCTTTACAGGGATGAGGACCAGGCCCCCCTCAAGGGACTCACTGTGGTGAGGACGGACAGCAAGACAGAAGAGGACAGGATCTTAATAGCGTGACTCAGAGCTCCGGGAAAGCAGGGAAGAGAAGCCCTTTCAGGGGTGGGAGGGGTCAGGGGAGCTCTTGGGGGTGACAGCTGAGCTGGGCTGTGACGGGGGCTAGCCCTCTGGACGAGTAGAGGTGGTGGGAGAGTCCAAAGGGCCGGCTGGGTTAGAGGCATGTCTGGTGTGAGGTGCAGGGACTGGGGCAAAGGAACTCACATTTCTAAGCACACACCACGTGTCAGGTGTGCATCTGCTGACTCATCTAATCTGTGTGACAGGACGGGGCTCACTATCCCCATTTTACAGTCAGGGAAGGAAGGTTGTTCAGGGTCACAGAGGATCACCGGAAGGGGTAGAACTGGGATGTGTTCTGGCTTTGCTGGGCTCTGCAGGTTCTAGTCAACCCCTCTGGCCCGGCCCTATTCCTCCTCCATGCTGCTTCTGACAGAGGGCCACTGAACTTACACCCAACTCTATGGCAGACATGGGGCAGTCCCTCAGTAAGAGCTTGTGGGTAAGTTACAGGGGTGATGGGCTCCCCACAAGAACAGACTCCGGTCAGCCCTCTGTGTCTCTGGCACCCCTGCTCTGAAGGGGGTGTCAAGAGAGACTTAGGCGCGGGGGTCTCTGTAGGTTTGTCTGGCCTGGACCCCAGGACTGTTCTGGGGACAGGGCTCCTGACCAGCTTGAGGGCTATAGGGTTGGGCCAGGCCCAGCGAGGACACACCGCAGAGTGTCATCCTCTTGTCCTCCCGCCCCTCCAACCCGCTCAGCCCTCTGACCTTGATCATATACTTCGCCCACCACGGGCTTCAGGCCGTGCTCCTTCCCTGCCTCATAAATGGCTCCTCCATCCAGGGTGATGGCATCAGCCTCCCGGGCCTGCTGGGAACATGTGGGTCAGCGCAGCCCGCCCACCTCGGCCCATTCAGCCAGGAGCTCAGGGGCATCCATTAGCCTGCCTAGGGCCCCTTGAAAAGCCACGGAGGTCCATACTGGTCCTCTTTGTCTGGCCCGGGAACCCTGCCCTGGCTTGGTCTTGTACCACCAGGGCCTAGAGCGCTTACCCTTTACCAGGTCCTAGGTGACCGCTCTCCTAGGCCAAGGGCTTGCCTTGTTTTCTAATTATGTTATTTAAAAATGATTTTCTAGGGCTTCTAATGGCTTTCCATAGTAAAAAAAAAAAAAAAAAAAAAAAAAATTAGACCGTACAAAATGGTACGTAGTAAAAAGGGAATCTCCCTCATTTCCCAATTTCTCAGTGCCCTGACTCCACTGTTAACCTGTTTCTCAGGTTTTCTAGGAGGCAGACTGAGTCCCATAAAGGCCCTCTTCATTTTTTCCCTTTTTATTTTCAAACACAAATGGCCTGTGGTGCCAATTGTATTTTCGAACACAGTGTCCTGAGGTGCATGATAAAATTCTAGTTCAATATAATTGCTTTCCTCGCCATGGAGGCTGACCTAAGCCCGCAGCCCATGTGGGACTTGGCTTAGGTCTGGGGAGAAATCAAGGGCCAAGTTGAAGTGCAAACCCAGGTCCCCTGGTGCTTCCGTCCACACACTGTCTTGCCACTGAAGTCCCAGCTCTGAGGAGCATCAGGGCGAGTTGAGCAGCTCTGCCGCCCGCAGTCCCCCACCCAGGACGGCCGGCCCCTTTTCCTCCTTCCTGAGAAACTGCACAAGCCCCATTCCGGAAAACCGCCACCGAGGGCTCAGCTGCCCGGGCTCCCCTGGGCGGGGTGGGGCGTGTCCCTACTCTAGCAGGGACCTTGGGGAAGGAAACCTCTGCCTCTTCGAAGCCTTTCCCCATTGAGCCGGGGCCCCCCCTGCGGCCTCCCTGGCCTGCGCCCTGGCAGGAAGCAAGCTGGCCCCTGTTGCCTGGGAAACTCAGGAGAGCCTCGGCCTGGCCCCGGCGGGGCAAGTCAGGCCCTCCTCCGTGAATGACGCTGTTGTGCAGCCCCTCCTGAGTCAGAGCCCTCCTGTCTGGCAGGCGGCCGTGGCGGGGCGGGCGCGGGGGGGACTCACCTCGATGAGCCGGACGCAGTGGTCAGTGGAGGTGCCCTGGACACACAGGATGGGCGGCTGGATACCGGCTTCCTGGAAGGCTCTGCTCATGTCGCGGCATTTCTGCTGCTCCGGGTCTGAGGTGGTGCACCACCGCACCTCCATCCTGCTGAGCGCTGGGGGCGGGACAGTGAGGCCCAGGGCCCCTAGCCTCCCAGCCCCTGCCCCCCGAGGGTTGTGTGACCCCAACAACATGCATAGTCGGTCCCACCCACTGGGAGGGACTGAGGCAGAGAGACGGGTCACAGACCGGAAAGGGGCTGGGCTCACTGGCAAAGCTGTGTGTGGGGCCGTGCATATCCCCGCACTTGGGGCAGATGGGGCAGCTCAGAGCCTGGCCCTTTACAGAGGCCAAGGCCGGGGGCAGGGGGGGTCTCCTAGGGTAGCGCTCAGCTAGCCCCAACCTTGTTCACTGGCCTGGAGAGCAGCCTGCCGGGTGGAAAGAGCACTGGCTGGGGAGTCCTGTCTGGTTCTGGGACTAGGCCAGTCCCTGTCCGTCTTGGGGCCTCTGTGTCCTCCAGCCAGAGGATGATAGGTTCTCTCACTCAGGGTCCCTGCACCCTCCTCATGAACTGGGAAGTCGTGGCTGCCCTTGAGGAGTCTTGCACCCCCTTGGAGCATCTGTGATTATGCTCACTGCAAACCCACCCTCAGGGTCACCCACCCCTGCCAAGGGGAAGCTGAGGAATCAGCAGGTTGAGTTCAAGTTTCTGCTCCTGGAGAAGGAGCTGGTGACTTCAGGCAACTTATTTGACCTCTCTGAGCTTGCTTTGTCATCTGAGAGCACAGATGAGAAAATCCACCTTCTGTGCTGAAGTAAACCTAGGTAGAGAGCCAGGATGCACGGGGCCTTGGTCGCCTTTTGCTTAGGCCCCTTCTCCTGGTGGGGACCCTACTGGGTCCCCGCACCTGACCAGGTCAGAGTCCTGGAGAGCTCCCAGCCTGGGGGCCCAGCAGAAGTGGTGCCAGACTTCCTTGTGGTTGATGCCTTTGCAGACCCGAAGTTCCTCCATCCCCCACTCCTGCGGCCCAGCTTTGGGTCCAGTTCCCGGCCCCCAGCGACCAGGTCATCCTCTTGTGGCAGCCTGTCCTTCCCATCCCCACACCAAGGGTCAAGACTGCAGGTTCCTCCACAGCCTTCCTTTTGCCACCCAACTCCGGGCAGCACCCTGGAATGTGAAACTGCCGCCCCAGACTGCCTGCTCTCCAGAGCCCCAGGCCTGCACCTTGGTAGGCCTGGCAGGTGCAGAGTTGGGGCCGGGGTGGCGGGTCCAGTGTATTAGTGAGGTCAGAGCGACGAGGCCACCCTTGTCCGCGGGACCCTGCCCGCAGCTCCCCCAGGCCCCGCCTCACCCCTCAGTGTGCTGGGCCCGGGCTCCCTTGGGAGCGGCGGTGCAGACACGGGGAGACAGGGCAGCGCCCCTTCCTCCTCCTTTGCAGGGCGCCCTGGGGCCGGCTCCCGGTCGCATCTCGCGCCCCTCCCAGTCCCTTAGAATCTTCTCCCGCGGGAGCTCGGGAGAAGCAGAGGCGCTGTGGCCCCCAAACCCTCCTGGAGCTTCCGCGCCTATCAAGAGCGTTCACCCTCCCAGCTCTCCTCCTGCCCCCCTAAGGCTCTCCCCTCCACGCCTCCGACTGCTCCTCTCCTTGGCCGGTCAGAAGGCCGGCTTTTCCAAGGCCCAGTTCAATGCTGTTTCCTCCAAGAAGCCCTCCGGACGTCCCAGTCAGCTGGGGTCAGTGTCGTCCCCCCCGCCCCCGTCGCACCGAGCGGCGCTTTCCGCCTTTCCAGGCCTCCCCCCTTTCCGGGGAGATACGGATTCAGGACACACTTCCCAGCGGCCTGGGATCCTGCTCGGGGGCTGAGACAACTGCAGGGCCCCCGCCCCGGATCCTGCTCGGGGGCTGAGACAACTGCAGGGCCCCCGCCCCAGCTCCTGCTCCCAAGGCCGGGCGGCCGGGCCTCACCTGTGCGCAGAGCGAGGAAGAGCCACAGAGCCACGCTCGGGCCCCTCATGGCGCGGTCTAGAGCTAGCGGGGGCCGGGCTGGGTCCGCCTGGGTCAGCAGCAGCCGAGGCCTCCCCCGTCCTTCCTCCCCGGCACTGGCCTGCAGCTCCTTAAGTGCGCCCGGGGCGTGCCTCGGTGGCGTCCACGCCCCTGGGGCCCCGCCGCCCAGCCCAGGCTGGACACCTGGACTGACCACGCTGGCCTTGGCCCTCTCTCTGGCGCCCCCTGCTGGAACCTCGGCCGCCGCCGGCTCTCAGGGTCCCAGGTGCTCCTAGCCTCTGGGCACACCCACTTATCTGTCCCTGAATGTCAGGTACCTGTTGTCTGGGGTCTGATTACCCCAGCTCACAGGCTGTTCTAGGGCTCTCTCCCCTCAACTATCGGCCCTCTCCTTGTTCTAGAAAGATCCTCAATATGTGCCGTTGAAGAGGGAAAAGCTCAGATTCGGGAAGGAAGAAGTCAGAATCCCCTGAACTGCAAGGAGGCTGAAAGGCCTGCAAATTCATTCATCAGCCTCTCTGCAAGTACATACTGCACAAAGTGGGGATACAGGGATGAGCCCGGGTAGATGTGGTCCTGGCTGGGGAGGAGCTGGGAGGGTGGGAGTGGGGGTGCCTCTCCTTGGGCCTATGCTGGGGAAGTGACTTCACCCTATGTTCACACATTTAGTCAGTGACAGAGCTGGAACTAGAACTGGGACCCCTGGCAGCTTGGCTCATTCCATCATGTTTTGAAAGATGGGAAGAAGACCAAAAAGAGGGAGGAGGAAGAAACAGAAAAGGACAGAGAGGGACATGAAAGGAGAGAGAGAATGAAGAAGGTGAGGGAGAAAAGGGTGGGTTGTCTATTTTTCTAGGCCTTGGGGTCTCAGAGTGTGTCCCCGGACCCCACAGCATGGGAACGTGTTAGATATGCACATTCTCAGGCCCACCTCTGACCCGCTAAATCAAAGCTCTGGAGGTAGGGCCAGCAATGTATGCTTCTGCTTCTGGTGCCCAGCACAGTCTGAGAAGCACCCTTCTAGGTAGACCAGAAGTGCAGCTCTCCATGTGTGCTGGGGATGTGGGGAGTGGATTGCTGAAATCCTGACTTCTCTGCTTCTCTTTGTGCCCTTATTTTTTGTCCTCGCCCTCTCACAAGTACCCGGGAATGAGAGCCTCCCTGCCTTGGGTAGAGGACAAATGTAATAAAAACACTGAGTGCGAGAGAAGGTGTCCCTGCGTCTGAATCTGTCAGTTCTCGAGCCTGCTCTGCTCTGTGGGGAAGGGAGGCCCGGCTTCTTGGAACAGGCCAGGACGCTGCTGCTTATCACACCCTGAGATGATCCATGGCAATTCCACGGGCTGGACTTCAAGAGACCCGAGCTCTATTCTTTCGTTATTACTGGCCCACTGTGTGGCCTTGGGCAGGTTCGTTCTCCTTTCTCTGAGTTTCAGTTTATCCATATGTAAAAGGTAGGTCATGATGGCTCTGAAGTCTGCTCTGGAGAATCGGAGGGGGACATGTGTGGAAGCTGTTTTTCCACTCTGAGCTGGATCCATCAGGAGGGGGCACCTCTTTCTGATTCACACAGACTAGCAGGTGGCCCTGGCAGAGGGGCTATGGCCTGTCCTAAGAGGATGAAATAAATAGAAGCATCCTTAGTAAGTCTCACCCTCCTGACCACGAGGATGAAAAGGCTCATTTTGTCACACTCCAGGAGCAACCAGAAGGTACTGGCAAGATTTGTGTTCATGAAGTTATTTCTCTAGCAAAACTCCAGGTGACACTGATAAGGTGTCAGACAGCTACAGCCTAAGAGCTTGGGTGAGCAATTTTGCAGTTGAGGTCCTTTCCCTATCTCTGGGGAGTCATTCCCCTACTGTGACTCATCGGTGAACTTGCTGTCTCTGGGCTCCAGAGGCTTCTATGTCTGACTCATTTGCTTGGCCTTAGCATGGACATAGCTTTGGCCATAGTCATTACACACATAGAGATCTATATGTAATGGGGAACTCTTGATTTGGCTTGAGCCTGGATCCTGCCATTTCTGAGGTATGGACATCCCTGGGTGTATCAGATGCAATGAGACAATGACGACCAGTAATTTAACCTAGAAACAAGTCGTATAGAGGAGCAGAAGCACTGAGGATAGTTTGGTCCCTATTCTGGACTCATACTGAGGAGAGGAAGAGTGCCTTTGAGTTTCCTTCTAGAAACAAGAACTAGTTTCACTAAGACTTCTATGAGATGTTGGGACCTAAACAACACTGTTCTGGGACCATTCCCCCCCACCCCCCGACTCTATTCCATTATATGAAATACAAAGAGCTCTTCTCCACTCTGCCAAAGACACAGCTCTGGCTCCCCAAGGATTCAGGGTGCCCCCCCACAACATGCAGATTGCTTGCCAGGGAACTGAGGAACAGTAGCAGATGCTATGGGATGGAACACATTAAAGATAGTCTCTGGGGACTCAGAAAGAAGAGGGGGCCTTTGATGCAGGGGGTGGAGAACCTGTGTTGACAGTTGTGAGCTAATGAGCCAGCAAAATATGGAGGCACAATTCTTTTACCCAAAATCTTAGAAAAATTCATATTTTTTCATCTCAACAAACCATGGTTTATATTTTTCTATTTTTATGAGCTGTGATGTCTTTGACTAATTAAGAACAAGCCCAAATAATTTTTATTTGGGGAACACTTGGAAGGACTGGTATGCACAGAGAAATTTAGCGGTGGTGAACACTATACCAGGGACCAGAAAGGAAAGGACTATAATTAAATAAAAAATTTGGCTGATTTAGAGATCTGTAGTCAGACTGTTTTATCTACTCCCATCCACTCTTCCCTCCCAACTGTACCGATTTGCAAATGAAGTGGCCGCTAACACTTTACACAATGATGTTTTCAGGTCATGAAAAGCCAAGGCAGTGAAGACTGTTGTTGTACAAGAGGCCCGCAGGCTGTGCACTCCAATCGCCTGCCATGGGTACCTTACTGGGGCAGACGAACACAAGGAGAAGGCCACCCAATCTGAGACAAACCAAGTACCTAAGGAGGTAAAAGCAGAACAGGGAGAACATGCTCAGTGTTAAGTGGATACTCAGTATATACTGCCGGCATTCAGTTTCCATGGGCTGTAACTAGGGAGTCTTCTGCAGGAGGAGGGACTTAGGGTGGGCCTTGAAGAAAGGTAGGGCTTTGCATGACCAACAGCCACAGACAAGAACTGATGAGGTATGGTTGGCGAGGTAGGTGGCAGGGGATGACTGATTGACCTCATACTATGTTCCAGAACTATACTAGACAGGGTAAGTTAATTGGTTTGGATTTAGGATCCATGAAGGTCACTGAAGAGAAACACAATCCAAGTTGCATTTTAGGAAAAGTCATCTGGTGATGGCTGGGTCAGCAAGGGGGCAAATTAGAGGCTGAGAGATGAATTAAGACGCCACCTCAGTAACCAAGGCTTGGGGTTGAGGGCGGGTTAAGGATTAGAGTGATGACAGTGGAAATAATAGCAAGAAAAATATGACATTAAGGAATAATCAACAGTATTTGGTGACTGAATATTTGGGGAAGAGAGATGTCAAGAAGCATTAAGGTTAAAATGTGGGTGATGGAGAGAATATTCTATTAAGTACAATCATTATTAGCTACTGGTAGAAAAATAGTTAAAAGGTTAGTAAAGTTTTTTCCTAGTAAGAGTAAGGAACGTCAGATAAACTAGATCTGAAGCAAGCACTGAACTTTCAGAAAGAAAGGGATCTATTATTATTATTTTTTAAAGATTTTATTTATTTATTTGAGACAGACAGACAGCCAGAGCAGGAACACAAGCAGGGGGAGTGGGAGAGGGAGAAGTAGGCTTCCCGCCAACAGGGAGCCTGATGTGGGGCTCGATCCCAGGACCCTGGGATCATGACCTGAGTGGAAGGCAGACGCTTAACTGCCTGAGCCACCCAGGCGCCCCGAGGGATCTATTATTAAGACATATCTTTTCTAGTCTTAAATACCACTAGGGAAGTAGATATTTTTGATCAAATGACTGTCACAAGATTTAGAAAATCTTTTCGTAGAAATTCATAGTGTGAAACATATGGGACTTTCATCTTGTCTTTAGCCCTCCCATCTGTGAGGTGAATGAACCTGATTTTAGACATCCTAAAGAAAGATTACATCACTTGTTCTAATCTTTTCTTCCATCAGAGAATTCACCATGTCTTGTTTCACATGCTAATTGTTTTGTGCACAGACTTCTACACAGTTTAAAAAAAATCATTTTACTGTAGGTAAGAATTGTCCAAATGATATTGGTCATTAACAGTTGATTTGCAGAAACAGGGATGAATATATGCTCAATTTGAATAGTTTATTCCTATTTTGGGTAACACCAGTAGTTCTAAGGTTCAGTTTAGCGCCAATTAAGAGGAATGACCTAATGTTGTTATTGTTGTCATTTTTGAAAACACACCAGAGAAATCAAGTCATATTACGATCTGAATGGAAAACACGGACAAGGCCCGTTGTGCTAGCCGCATGCCATCAGTGAAGGGGATGGGCAGCTCTGGTTCAAGGATTCCTTAAATATACTGTTTTGGAATTAGATTTCTGTTAATCATAGAATATAAGTAATGTTTAAGATACAGAGAAGTTACCAGCTAAAGGAAATTAGTAGTCATTAATTTAAAAAAACAAGCTACAATCCTTTGGTGTTCAACAAACTAGATTTTCTTGAAAGATTAGGACTGTCTTCATGGACTGTTTTCTAAATCGTAAGGCTATTAATCTCACCTTTAACAAATGTTCTCACTGGTTGCTCAGACTATATATTCTTCTCATTTACTACTATCCTAACTAGACTACATTTATTTCCCTTCAGACACTAGCAATGAGAATCTGGTACGGGTCACTGGCACATCCAGCTTTTGGACCACCTGAGTATTATTCTTGGGAATTTGAAATTCTAAAAATTTGAAATTGCTTACTCTCATACTCTCCTACTTTAGACATAATATTGTTCTGTAAACAGGCTCTTGGGATATATTATTCTGCATTTAAAGTTTGTTTTAGGATAAGCTCCTGTACAACCGCCTAAATGTGTGGATTCTCACAGTAGACAGGGAGGTAGAGTGGGGGAGGGCCTGTCACAGCTGTCAGATCAGAAACCCATTTCTGGTTCTGATCCTTGCTGCTGCAGACCTAAAGTTGCAAAGAAGCACAAAAATGTAGAGGAAAAGACTGAAAACAATCCAAAAGTCCTTCAGTGAAGGGATAGATAAATGAATTATACATCCATAAAATGGACTACTACTTAGCAATGAAAATAACAAACTTGATTCCTGCAGCAACATGGCTGAACCTCAGATGCATTTTGCTAAGTCCAAGAAGCCACACCCAAAATTATTTACAGGGTACGGTTCCATTTATAGGACATTCTGGGAAAGGCAAAACTATAGGCACTGAGAAATTATCAGTGGTTATCAGAGTTTGGGGGTAGGAGTAGGTACGGACTAGAAGTTTTGGGGGTGATTACGAGCTGTATATACATGGGTCAAAACTCACAGAATTGAACAGCATAGAGAATTTTACTGTACATAAATTAAAAAGATATAAAAGAAAATTAGGGGGGGGCGCCTGTATTGCTCAGTTGGTTAAACATCTGACTCTTGATTTCAGCTCCGGTCACGATCTCAGGGATGTGAGATTGAACCCTGCGTGGGGCTCCACATTCATCAGGGAGCCTGCTTCTCTCCCTCACCCTGCTCTCTCTCACTAAAATAAATAAATCTTAAAAAAAAAAAAAAAAAAAGGATAGTGGCTTCCCTTGGAGTAGGAGTAATGACTGGGAGGGAGATGAGGCGGGGTACCTGGGGAGCTGGTTACGTTCTGTTTGAGCTTCATGCTGATTGTTACATGGGTATTGGTTTATAAAAATTCATTGGGGTATATGTACACTTATGATATTCATACATTTTACATATGTATGTTATACTTCAATAACAAGTAAACAACAAGGGACAGTGGGAGCGAATTCCAGCCTTCACTGTCTTTTAGTCTCCTTCCTCTCATCTTCACCCCCCCCCCGCCCCATCTGTATACTCTACTATGCTAGAAAAATTGTAGTGTGAAACTCTCCCTGGTCAGGTTTGGTACCTGTTCCTAAAAGCTTCAAACAACATCAGTTTACCTGACCATCAATTCTGTTCACTATGCTGTTTGGCAGACCAGGATTTGTTTTGCCAACTCTCAGGTAACCATATTTGGGCATGGAATGAAGAAAGAGCTGGTAGTGGAAAGTCACTGAGAAAGTAATCACGGATAAGCAGTGACTATTCTAAGTCACACTGAATAAAAGAAAATGTATCTTACCTGGGTGATTTAAGTAATCTTTTTCAGGCCTGTTTCTAGACTCTTGATAGAGAACTGCTAGGCACTGTTGTGTTTAGCACTGTGCAGATGTGAGGATGGCTTATGAAATCTTGATGTCTTCCAGTTTCATGTTGAAGACTGAGGTAGAGTAGGCAAAAGTCCCATCTCTGACAGAGTAGGGATGCTTAGAAGAGATGAGTAAACATGATTATAGGGACTGAAATGTAAATAATTTCTTCACTCCAAGTCCATCAAAGAAAATTTCTCTATAGTTGATGAAGAATGGTGGACCATATTATTCTGTCTTCTGCTACCAATCATAAACATACTCCAGAGCAAGGTAGTAAGAGTCAAGTATCAGATGCTGTGATCAGTGTTTTGTACACATTTAACCCTTAAAATAATCCTGCAAGATAGTCACTCAAATCCCATTTAAAATGAAGGCTCAAGGTAATCTGTACAAAGTGAGTTGCAACAATTCCAGGTTTCTGATTCCAAAGGAAAAGGGAATTAACTTTTAGAATGTATTATGTGCTAAGCTCCTTTATTTTAGTATTAAAATATCTCCATTTAATTTGTGTGTGTGTGTGTGAGAGAGAGAGAGAGAGAGAGAGAGAGAGAGAGAGAGAGAGAGACCGCATGAGCAGGGAGAGGGGAAGAAGGAGAGAAGCAGACTCCCCACTGAGCGCAAAGCCTGATGCGGGTTCAACCCCATAACCCCAAGATCATGACCCTGACCCGAACCAAGACTTGGGATACTTGACTGAGCCCCCAGATATCTCCATTTTAGAGAGAAGTAAACAGAAAGAGGGATGGCATGGCTTGTCCAAGGTTAGTTACATAACCAGTAAGTGGTGGAGCTGGTATTTAAGCCCTCTGATTTCAGAGCCTACATTCTTCACATTATAGTACTCCACTGCCAAAGCCGATGGGAGCTATACTGTGCAATTCTGGAGGAAGATAAATGGAATCTTTGACATTGGACTAAAACACCAGAAAATCTAAACTTAGGTCAGAAAAGTGACATTTGTTGTTTTTCCCTGATATCTTTCATATTCAAGCACCTCAATAAAATCTCCTAAGTTTACGGGTATTTACTTTCTTTTAATCAGTAATGCAAAGCTTGAGGGACTGAATAACCCACTAAATTCAGCTTACACCATGGGAAGAAAAGGAACTGGATGGCAGAAAAACCACTGTCCTAGGAACCAGGAATCAAAGGTTCTAATCCTGGCTCTGTTCCTGATTTGCAGTGTAACTTTGGTTAAGGCATGGGGATCTCTGGACTTGTTTTACCACATGTAAATTAAGAGTATTCAAGACAGAATTTTGGAAAGTAAACTGTTTACTCTAATACTCTAGAAAACAAATTTTTTCTCATGAGTAAAGCCCCCAAATTGCCATCTTGGAATTTAAATACTATGTAGTGGGTTACCAGGTGTTTGTGAGAGTCTGTTCTGCAAGCTTGCTTCCATCATTTTTGAAGAGCCCTGGGAAGATGTGGAATAGAAAAGCAACCAGAAACGTGTAGTCACATTTAAGAGGCATTTTAGTTTTTGCCAACTTAAAAAATATTAAGAATATTAAAATATGAATATCTCATAAAAGAGTTGAAATATTATTATTCTCTCTGTATCAGACTAATGGATTTTCCTAATAAACACTGTTCCATTTTTGGTTCTTTTTTTTCCCCCCCGCCTTCCCATTTTTGGTTCCAAAGAAGTTTTTTGTTACTGTGATGGTGCTAGGCTGATTTGTTTCCCAGAAACATGTTTTTCAGCTATGACAGGAAGTGACTTGTTCTGTGGGTCTGTCCTTACTGTGTGCCTCGGGGCAAGGACTTTCATCTAAGTCTGTCTCTGTAAAGGGGCACTAACATAATTTAAGTCATAGTGCCTTACATAGTAGGGGCTGAGAAAAACAAGGCAGCATAATATACTAGAAAGAACATGGGGCAGAAAGACTTGGACACAAATACCAAGCACTGCCGCTTACTAGCTAAGTCATCTTGGGCAAATGATTTCATTTAAGCCTTACAGCGGGGCTAATAATTCTTAAATTCTTATTTTTTAAAATTAAATGATAATATACTAAAGTGGCTGTTACACAGAAGTACTAAGCAATTAGTACTTTTATTAATAATTCTATACAATCTAGAAAGCTGCACAAAAGTTAGTATTTTCTTACAAAAACATCACTTAACAAGGACATCCAAAAGCAATGTAATACACATTGTAACAGATAAATGGCATCATTTTTATAATCTCTTGCTATTTTAGAACATGTGACCAGTAAATACTTCAAAATGGCTTATACTGGGGTCTTGCTGTAGAGTGATTTCTGGGACTCTTGAGATTATTTTACAATAATTTTCTTCTAGTTGTTTTAGGTTTGGTAACAACCTACTACAATTATTGTTATAGCCATAGTATATATTTCAATGTGTTAACATGAACTCAATTCCAAAACCTACAGAAGAAAATTTGATTAGGTTCCCTAATGGCCCATGAATCCAGTTTATAAATTACATGATGCTCCAAGTTGTTTCAAGAAAATATTTGCTTGTAAACAATATTTTCTTTCAGAATTCAAGACACATTTAACATATGGATTTTACAACAAAGTTTATTAGCTGTTCTCCTCTTTCTCATAAATGGAATGGATAATGTTGATAATCCTTTACAAACCAGTACTCATTTAAGAAACTGTAATGAGGAGGCTGTGAAAAACACGTATTTAATAAACAACTCCAAAAAAGCAAAGGGAAGCCAAACAATATTATTAAAAGACCAGAGAAGTTGATTTCTGAAATCATATCTACCTTTCACTAAAATTTCTTAAAATTGCTCACCATGAAGATCTGTGCGACTCTAGTGCACAGCAGCTACGAGAGGTGAAAAGTGTGCAGTCTGAGGGGAAAACACACACGAGGCTTTTGCTTATTTGCCTATTAGTGAAAGGAGAACTGGAAGGAGAGGCAGAAGACCAAATCCAAACCCAATGACAAGAACAACAGTAACAAAAAACCCCAAAACAGAACCAGGAACCATTTGAAAACTTTTGTAGAAAAGAGGAGAACATGCCTATACTTCTGTATGTAATCTAATTTCCCTAAAGGTTTCTTTCCACAACCACCATACCCCCTTTTTCAGTTCACATGATTAAGGAAGATAAAGTCTAATCAATTAATATTTAATTTAAAAACCAAACAAAAAGTTAAGAGTAGGTGGCAAAAGAAAAAATATATTTTAAATATATATGTATGTTTGTGTGTGTGTGCAACTATGTAAAGAAAATAATTCCCATAGTTACAGTTTAGTTAAAGAAAGTTTTATATATATTTATATATATATATATTTTATTATAACAAAATAGGCAGTTACTGTGGGTAAAATATTCATTAAAATCTGATCCCTAAGAATACATTTAAAGTTTTAGACTATGAACTGGACTCCTTTTCCATTGCCATAATGATTACTACATCACCACTGTAATGTCTGTTCTGTCTGTATTTATGTCTATGAAGTTTCCTCAACCTTATGTGTAAAAGGTGAGCTCCCCTAGCACCTAAACATGGCCTCAATTCAGAGAATGTGATGATCATTATGTATGAACTTTTTTAAGACACTATAAACAGTGCTGCACAAGATTAAAAACATTTTTAACACTGCTATTCCTAGCAAATGTGTTGAGAAAAAAACCCTCAAACAATAAAAGACATGAAGAACTCTTATGAAAAATGAATATCCCTTGTGAAATTATGAAAGTTAATGCAGACATTAATTTTGAAATTAAAAAACGTATTTTCCTTATTTGTCTATAATTAAATATTTGCTTTGATAACACAAGTCAATTGAGAAAAGGACTTGAGAGTTAATATATTGGCCAAACCATGCTATTAAAGTTAAGCGTGCACTGTTGCTCAAAGTTTACTAAATCACTGATTAACACTTTTCTTTCATTTATACTGAAATTTGAAAAGAATGTATATAAAGCTTTTCTGAAAATCTCTTAAAGTTACTTTCCCTTAAACATTAAGGAATTTTGCCACAATTTCCCAGTCTCCCCAAATCCTTAATAGCTGGTCAGGCCATTCCATCTTCAGTTCTGAAAAATGGCCACAAACCAACAGTGACATAAAATAATACAGATGCTACAACTTTAAGGAGACCCTAGATGTCAAAACTAAGCACAACTTGTAGACCATGATGAGTGGGATATGACTCAACGTGGAAGGTGTATTGTAGACAGACTCCAAAAGGAAAGGGCAAAGAAGTGTCAGAGAAAATGGACTGTGGAAAAGAGAAACAGAGAAACATCAGTCCTCATAACTTTTCTTTTGCTGGAACCCAGATGTAAGGACCAGACTGTTCTTCTATGATCTGCTTCACTTGGTTATAAATGTCTTCCAGCGTATCTCCCTGTATAATAGCTGTAATAACAGAAACAAAATTAGAAACCTCCATTAATTATCTATCTTTACCATAACAATTACTGGTGAAATAGAAGCTAAATCTTAGAACTAGTTACTCATCCAGCAAGAGACCATTTATGTATTGTTTGCTTAGTAATAGCCACTCATTTCATTAATTTTCCTACTTGAAAAATATAAGAATTTTTATTTTAAATACTCATCAAAAAGTGAGATTTGGTGATTTTTACTTAGTTTTGTATATTTGGTAGATACACACTGAAGTACTTAAGAGGCAAAAGGGCATCTGCTGGCAACTTACTCTTAAATGTTTCAGAAAAAAATGAAATGTGGTAAAATGTTAACATTTAGAAAATATGGGTGAAAAGTGTATGAGAATTGCTGGTACTACTCTTTTTTTTTTTAAGATTTTATTTATTTGACAGAGAGAGACACAGCGAGAGAGGGAACACAAGCAGGGAGAGTGGGAGAGGGAGAAGCAGGCTTCCCACGGAGCAGGGAGCCCGACGTGGGGTCGATCCCAGGACCCTGGGATCATGACCTGAGCCGAAGGCAGATGCTTAACGACTGAGCCACCCAGGCACCCCGCTGGTACTACTCTTGTGAATGTTCTGTTAAGTCTGAAATTATTAAAAAAAAAAAAAAAAAAGCAAGCAAGCACATGGGTTACAACACCATGGCATTTGATGTACTTAGGGTGAACACCTGAAGAATAATTTAAAGGACAAAATGAATGAGAAATTATTTGGGAATTGCTACCCACTCATTTTTTTTAAACAAATAATATATTAAAATGGATCAAAATTTATAAAGCCTAAGATCAGAAAAGTCATTTTCACAGAAGAAATCAAGTCTGAATCTGTTTTTCTCCAGTCTAGTATGTCCTAATGAACCACTTAAGAAACACTATCTTTTAAGATTCCTCATCACCACTGCCTAGGTTAGATGAATTATTCTGAAAACCACAATTATTAATTACATAGTATTAATACATAGTATTAATCAGAGTAATTAATTACTGGTAGATGTGGGCATAGTTCAAAGTTCAATGGGTCAGTTCATATGGCTCCAAATCAAAATTCTGTCAGGGCACTGACACACATGATGCCAACCTGTGAAATGTTCAGTAAATTCTTGTTCCAGTTTCATGGCTCTCTCAAATGTCTTTCTGGCTTGTTCTTCTGTTAGACGCTTATTCATTTCCCTATGCAAATAAATTTAGAAATCAGCAATTAGTACATTATAATACTTTTTGAAAAAAAGATGACAAAGGAGAAGAGACACATAAAACATAAAATCATGGAAAGTTGAGTTCTGTTGAGAATATGAATGTCACTAAAAATGAGATTGTCACTAAGTATATTAAGCTTTATGCTCCGATTGACAGAGGGTTTCAATACATTTTTGCATTCGCTCAAGGCAGCCAAAAAAACTAAGCATTAATTTGGTATTTTTCACTTTGATGAAAATTTCATATTAAGATATAGCTTAGAGATCTATCTACCAATTTATGGATAACAAAGATAACACATAAACATATCAAACAGCACCATGAGAAGGTAATCAACAAAATATAGTCTGGGGAGAACTCTGTAGAAGAAATGACGTGGTTTCTTTAACAACAACAAAAAAAGAGCTATGGAGGGAGAATCTATAGATTAAAAGAATTAACAACCAATTGTCACAAACAGATCTTATTTGGAACTTGATTCAAGCAAATAAATTGAAAAAAAAAAAGCAAAAGGAAAACTGATGAGACAATCAGGAAAATATGAACTATCTGATGATATAAAAATCATTTTAAGTGTGACATCAGAGAGATGTTTTCTAGTAACGTAATTCTTATCTTTCAAATATATACTGCAATATATGGATGAAATCATGTAACGTCTGGGGCTTGTTTCAAAATAATCTGGTGTGGATGGGTAGGGGGATGGATGAAACAAGACTGGTCATAGCTGAGAATTATTGCTGCAGCTGGATGATGGGTATATGAGAGTTTGTTCCCAACTTAAAGGGAAAGCTTCCAATATTTCTTCATTAAATATGACATTTGCTTTGATATTTTATAAGTGACCTTTACTGGATTAAGGAAATTCCCTCCTATTCAGTTTGCAGAATGTTTTTTGTCATGAATGGATGTTTATTTTATCAAATGCTTTTTCTGCATTTATTAAAATGATCATATGCTTTTACTCCTAAAATCTCTTAATGTGGCACACTTACATGGATTTTAAAAGATTCATTAAAAATTGTGAAAAAATATACATAACATATAAGTTACCATTTTAACCATTTTTAAGTGTACAGTTCGTTGGCATTAGTATCTTCACATTGTTGTGCAACCATTATCACCACCCAACCCTACGACTGTTTTCGTTTGGTAAAACCAAAACTCTATTCCTATTAAAAATAACTCCCCTTTGTCATCTCTCCTCAGCCCCCGCTACCCACCATTATTATACTTTGTCTCTATGATTTTGACCACTCTGAGTACCTCATAAAAGTGGAATCATACAGTATTTGTCTCTTTGTGACTGGCTTATTCCACTGAGCATAAGGCCTGCAAGGATCATTCATGAACATACTGCAGAATTTCCTTCCTTTGTATAATTGTGCCATATTTTGCTTATCCATGCGTTCACTGATAGACACTTAGGTTTCTTCCACATTTTAGTTATTGGAAATAATGCTACCATAAACATGAATGTACAAGTATCTCTTCAAAAAAGCAGCATATACCTAGAAGTGGAATTGCTGGATCATATAGTAACTCTATGTATCTTTTCATGTGCTTATTGGCTGTATCTTCTTTGGAGGAATGTCTATTCAAATCCTTTCCCCATTCTTGAATTGAGTTGTCTTCTTGTTGTTTTAGGAGTTCTCTAAATATTCTGGATATTAATCCCTTATTAGATATGATTTGCAAATATTTTTCCCATTCTGTGGATTGCCCTTTTACTCTGTAGACAGAGTCTTTCGATATACAAAACCTTATTTTATTATTTTTTAAAGATTTTAAGTAATCTCTACACCCAACGTGGGGCTTGAACTTACAACCCCGAGATCAAAAGTCACAGGCTTCACCGACTGAGTCACCCAGGGGCCCCGGATATACAAAAGTTTAAAATATGGGGCGCCAGGCTGGCTCAGTCAGTTAAGCATCTGCCTTCGGCTCAAGTCATGATCCCAGAGGCCTGGGATCGAGTCCTGTGTTGGGCTCCCTGTTCAGCCGGGAGTCTGCTTCTCCTTCTTCCTCTGCTCTGCTTGTGCTCTCTCTCAAAAAAAATCTTTAAAAAAAAAAAAAAAAAGTCATGGAATCTAATCTTTGTTGTTGTTACCTCTGCCTTTGGTGTCATATCCAATAAACCAATGCCAAATCCAATGTTGTAAAGCTTTTGTCCTATGTTTTCTTCTAAGAGTTTTATTGTCTTACATTTAGGTCCTTGATTCATTTTGAGTTAATTTCTGTATATGGTGTTAAGAGTCCAACTTAATTATTTTACACGTAGATACCCAGTTTTCCCAGCACCATTTGTTGAAAAGACTGTCCTTTCCCCCACCGAATGGTTTCGTATCCTTACTAAAAATAAAAAATCATGTATGTAACAGTTTACTTGTGACCTCTCTATTCTACTCCATTGGTCTTTTAAATTTTTTTCATCATGCTAAGTGTACTGTTTAATCCCCATCCCTTATTTCTTCCATCCCACTACCAACCTCCCCTCTGATAATCATCAGTTTGTTCTCTGTAGTTAAGTCTGTTTCTTGGTTTGTCTCTTTTTCCTTTGTTTCTTAAATTCCACATGAGTGAGATCATATGCTCTTTGTCTTTCTGACTGACTTATTTTGCTCAGCATATCTCCAGCTCTATCCATGTTATTGCAAATGACAAGATTTTCTTTTTTATTGCTGAATCGTATATACATTCCATTGTATATACATACTACCTCTTTATCCATTCATCTATCAGTGGACACTTGGGCTGGTTTGGCTACCATAAATAATGCTGCAATAAATATAGGGGTGCATGTATCCCTTTGAGTTAGTGTTTTTTTTAAAGATTTTATTTATTTGTCAGAGAGACAGAGGGAGCACAAGCGGGGGGCGGGGGAGCTGCAGGAAGAGGGAGAAGCAGGCTCCCCACTGAGCAAGGAGCCCAATGCAGAACTCAATCCCAATCTGGACCTGAGCCAAAGGCAGACGCTTAACCGACTGAGCCACCCAGGTGTCCCTGAGTTAGTGTTTTTGTATTTTTGGATAAATACCCAGTAGTGGTGATTCCTGAATCACAGGGTTGTTCTATT